CATGAGGAGGATTCACTTCCCAAGGTAGATGACCATCACTGTGACAGCTTCAGGGGTCTGTGAGGGCAACAGCTGATGAGAAGGTGCAGCGTCCATCACAACCTTCAGCCGAGAGCGTGAGTCTTGCAGTGAGAAAAGGCTTCATCTTCTGCAGTTATTTAATTTAATTGTAATTTGAGCGACATGTTTATCTGCTCAGGAGGTGAATGAGTGGAACTTGGCAAAACCTCCAGTATCGGGTCCACAGACGAATCGTCTTCCTGTTCTGGGCCGGAGACGAACCGCTCAGTTCGGGGGTCCAAGGCGAACGGCTTTTTACACAAAGAGACTTTGTGCAAAACAACTGAGAAGATTGTTTTGACTGACTAGGGAACATTCAATTCAGTTTATTTATATATCACCAAATCACAACAAAGTTGTCTCAGGGCACTTTACAGGAACATTCACAAACATAAAAGCCAATTAGTAAAGTTCTCTATCTAAGGAATCCAGCAGACAAGTTGAATCTTGGCTTCGTTGCAGTCGTCCATCCTGAGCAAGCACAGTGGCAACAGTGGAAAGAAAAACTCCCTTTTAAAAGGAAGAAACCTCCAGCAGAACCAGGCTCAGGACAAGCGTCCATCTGCATTGACCGGCTGGTTGAGAGGACAGGAAGGAGAGACAGACGAACACAGAATGGTAGGTCCAGGTACAGGTCCAGGTGAACCTGAAAGACAAAAAACATGTTAAGGATAGAAAAAATAATTACAAATACAAAACAGGTTGAGCAGAGTAAGTAAAGACAGTAGCAGAGTGAAAAGTGTGGTCAGTTTGTCCTCCAGCAGTCTAAGCCTATAGCAGCATAACTAAGGGACAGCTCAGGAAACCCAAGCCGACCCTAACTATAGGATTTATCAAAAAGGAAAGTCTTAAGCCCAGTTTTAAAACTGGATAATGTGTCAGCCTCACAGACAGAGATTGGAAGTTGGTTCCACAAGAGAGGAGCCTGATAACTGAAAGATCTGCCTCCCATTCTGTTTTTGTAAATTCTAGGAACCACAAGTAAACCTGCAGTCTGAGAG